TGTAGCCAAGACGGGTTTGGCGCAATTGGTTTTCACATTGGTGGTGGGATAGAATTGGTACATCGACTTCCTTGAGAATATTTTGGTATTTGCCTTGATCACCGAAAGCATCCTTACCCCAGCCAGTGGTCCAGCAACGAGCACCAGTGAAATCGGAGAATTTGTCAGGTAAACAGGCGGGACTAATGTGGGGATTCTTGGTGAAGTCTACAGGATGATCCAATTTCAAAACAGCTAAATCGTTATCCAAAGTACCAGCATAGTATTCAGGATGGATTTGTACGGAAACAACATCACGTTCAATATAAGGGAAGAATTCAACATCATGGTTAACATCCCATTCACCCAAACGAGCTCTTAAATCAAAACCATTTTGTCTGGAAATTAAATTAAAATAAAGTTAGGAAAAACTCCCAATGTAAAAATAAAATTCTAAACTTACGATTTAATACAATGAGCAGCAGTAATAACATGTAGGGCATCAATCAAAGTACCACCACAAGCATAAATCGATTCTTTGGGATCCTTTTTCAAAATAGCTACATGCCATGGATATTCACCGAATTCACTGTCACCATCTACATAAACGGGGTTCTTGATACGACCGGTAATACCGGCAGCATTGCGTACACCACAACGACCTAATTGTTGTTGTGGTGGTTGAGCTGGACGTAAGGGACGACGACAGCAAACTTCATTAACACGGCAAGTCTTCTGTACAGGGCGGTTGCCATAATAAGCACGCTAAAAAGGAAAGTAAATAAAATATTTAATACAAATTCTTTTAAAGAATTGATAAATAAATATCCTGTTTGGTAATCCTTTAACACTAAATACCTCTTGTAGCTTAACCGTTTCTGCTAATACACTACTACGTTTCTCTACCGTTTCTTCATGTTCTTCTATGCTACGCCTTTTGCGATCTCTAGGAAATGTTATATAATCACTACCCTCAGCAGCTCCTGGAGCTTGTGTAGGTATTGGATGTGTGATATCAGTATTTGTGTATTCCAATTCTTTTCCTTTTCGATAACGTTGGGATTCGGAAAATGTTAAAGATTGATTAACTCGAGAACTGCGATCGTATGGGTTTTCAAAACCTTGGTTGCCATCATAACCACTAGTACCAAAACCTGTGGAGTAACCTTGTCCAAATTCATTGCCAGGTGTTGGGTATGTAAGTGGAGAGGGTCCAAAATTTGCCCCTCCAGTTGGATAGTGACTTGCAGTGTGTGTAAACTCGTTGTCTGGAGGTTGATAGGAATGTGATGATGAACCAAAACTAGCACTACCCGTTGGATAATGGCTAGAAGTGTGTTCGTAATCACTTCCTGAGGGGGGATACGAATGTGAGTTAGAATCAAAACCTGAAGTTGTTGTGGGATAAGATGAGTGATCTCCGAAAGAAGAGTGACCAGGAGACGTGTGGACAAACGAGGTCGAATGGCTAGACACATGTTCATAATGTTCTTTATGATGATTCTCATAATGATGTATAGAACTTGGTTCAGTATATATTTGTGGGCCAGAATGATACTCAAATATTGGTTTGCTGGGTATCATTTCAATTTCGTATTTGTGAAAACTTGGTCCTGTAGAAGGAAAATGGTGTATGGATCCTGGACTGGTAAAGGTAGGACCATCATGATGGGAATGATGATCATGATCAAATCCAGAATAATGTTCATGATGATGGTAGTGACTATTGTGCACCACATTTGGCTTGGATTTAAATAGGTTACCAACTGCATCAAAGATATTAGCACTTGGTGTAATATGAAGATTCACCAAAGGTTTTACTACATTCTCACCAAATTCTGTTTTCTTTACTTGTACAGATACCAAGGGATTTACATTTATTAAGCCAAGATTAAGACCATTTGGTCCCAGAGCTCCAAAATGAGGATTTTGAGCAGGATAATTTTCACCCAAAACATTGGTGGGATAACCGCCAGGGTTATTGGGATAGGGGAGACCAAAAGAAACACCATATGTTGGCAAAATTTTGCGGCGTATCAATTCAATAGCTTGCAAGGCAGGTAGTCCTAGGCGCTAGAGATTGGAAAAGTTTACATTCGTTATAACATTTGTGCGTCTGTTTCTGGGACGACAGCAACATGCTACATTAAAAAGTGCGTGCAAAAATGTAACTCCATGAAAGTGCGGTTAGCTTACGATGGATTTTAGTTTAGATTAGTTACGTAAAGCACATACGCCACCGCACATAAACTAAACATACGCACTTCCAGGCCGACATCTTGGAGAATCTTTGGGCGAGAGTTACCAACCTTATAAGAACATGAAGACGTTTAAGTTTAGGCAGCGTAGTGTGCAGCATTATTAAAAAAAATGTTGCTAAAACTGCAGGGGTATTAAAATGTTAAAGGCTTTGGTTATTTGTTGTATTAGAAAATATGCTGGCATTTGTTAAGGATTTAAAAAAGGTTAAAGTTATTTTTTTTAAGAAACTAAAAACTTACGCCTTGAGAATCTTGAGTCATATCAGAAGCAGCATCTTCGGGTTTATTTTCTTCTTCTTGGATAGCTTGACGCTTGCTACGTTTCTTGTCTTCAGTCTTGTCATCTTCAGATTTTTGTTCATCCGATTTCTTTTCCGCTGTGGCAGAGACGGTAATATTGGCAGCAGCTTCATCACTTAAAGCCTCAATATCTTTACCCAAATTACGAGGATCAATAGGTAAAATTAAATCTTCTTTGCGACCAATACGATCGGCAGCAGGACATTGATTGAAGGGTACACATTGACAATCGACAAATTGATTGCGAGCAATGTCATAACCACCATTGAATTGTTCATTGCCATAGCCGGAAGTTAAACTATTGAAATTGTTGCTGGAAGAAGCGGCAATACCACCAATATTGTGTAATTCCTTTTTGTAATAATCGGGATTTTGACTGTGATAGCTGGAGCCAGGAGTGCTAGCTTGTCCATAACCAGATTGACCAAAACCAGATTGTCCAAAACCAGAAGATGAGGAAGAGATGCCACCGAATGAAGCTAAACCAGCAGAAGGTTTGGAATATAAATCACCATTAGGCTTGAAACCATTCAATCCTTGTCCGAAACTGGAACCACCTTGTCCGAAGCTAGAACCACCTTGGCCGAAACTAGAAGCACCTTGTCCGAAACTAGAAGCACCTTGAGACAAAAGACCACCCTGGGAAGCACCATTGAAACCAGCATTAAAAGCAGAATTAGACTGGAATGAACCCTGAGTTTCAGGAGTAAAGGCCGTTGAAGATTGAGCTAAGGCAGAGAAATCGGTATTAATGGTTTGTCCTGAACCTACTGGTATGGCTACACTAGGAACTTTAGCGCCTTCAGCACCTTCTACATGATGATAGTGATGATGAACATGTTGTTGCAAAGAAGAAGCGGATGAAGCAGAATTCGAAGACACAGCAGCACCGGTAGGTATACCACCAGCTACTACAACTTTAGTACTGGAAGAAGCAGCTGAAGCGGATGATTGGTGGCTATAGAAGTTGGTTTGTTGAGAACCGGCTACTTGAATCTTTTCGGGATTTTCAAAGGCATAGGGAGGAGAAGGACCATGACCAGTGTAGATGGGACCAGGAGGTTTGCTGCCATAAATAACGGCTCCAGGTGGAGGTCTGCTGAAACTAGCCGATGAAGAAGAACCATCAATAGCTGAAGGGGGAGGAGATTCCAAATAGGGGCCATTGTAATTAGGTCCTGGTCCTGAGGGTCTGTAGCCAGGTTTGTAAGAACTTTCATAGCCTACTTTGCGTGGTGGACCGAAAGAATTAACCGAAGAGGGAGGAGGACCCATATGAGGACGTCCATTGAAATATGAGGGAGGAGGCATTGGCTTGGGAGCACCATAAGGACCACCACCATATTTAGGTGGACCCTGAGCATAAATACTGGAATAGTAAGGACGTTTGGCTTCTTCACAGTTCATCAAACCCAAAGCACACAATTTATCACGCACCAAATTACGAGCCTGCATATCATTTCCTTGCATCAAAGCCTGATCTACATTGCCATCTTCATAGACACGATCATATTCATTCAAAATTCTACCTTCACGACGGGAATTGATGATTTGATCAATTATTTGATTAATATCGGTATCATTACTATAAATGGGCTCATTAACGGCATAATTGCGACCTTGTACATCTTCTTCTCCCTGCTTGGGTTCGGCATCAGCGTCAGCAGAACGTTTACTCAACATAGAATCCTGTGCTGGCACTGACCAGCTACCACTCCAGGATGTTTGCTCTTCAGCTTGTGTGTGTAAGATGCCAGCTAATAGAACCGTGGCCAAAAGGGCCCAATTTAACATCAATCCCATGCTGTAAAAAGAAATAAAAAGAAAAGAAAAACCATAAATATTGACCTTCAAATTATTGATAGCGTTGATGGCTGATGAATATTAAGTAATAATAATAATAATAATATATTTTATGTTTGTGAAGACACCTCCATCATGGCCTCAATACTAAAAACACTCTAGTGGTCATTGTGCTACTTTTGAATTTCGTTATTGTTGTTGGTAAACATTTCAAAACGAAGCGTAAAAAATAAACAAAACCAAAGAAGAGTAACTTCATTAACACTCACTCTATATGTATAAACTACTAACGTGCGCATATTCAACCGGTTTGTATGATTCGGTAGCGCTGATTGACTCATGCGTCGTTAAGGAAACACACACATACATAATAGAAAAAAAGCAACAATATACTTTTACTTTCGTTTTAAGGTCATTAGCTTAAAGCCGGCATAAACAAATTACTACAACGAGTAAAAAGCTTGCATTGGTACCAAATATATTGACTTGGCTTGGCGGATTTGTTTCTTCGCTGGATGGATGACTGACTATGGTGGAGTTGTGCAAGTTTTGTTGTTGTTGTTGTTGATGCTTGTGCAAAGATAATTTCAAGCATCAATTTTTTTCCATTGTTGCACAGAGTATGAAGTAATTTTTGTAACGTTTCCTTCCCCTGTTTCTTACTATGTATTTTTTTGGGATTTTTGTTAAATTGAAATAATTTTGCAATGTTTGCTTAAACGGAGCGTTGAGAGCAAAGTTTTTATAGAAATTATAAAAATAACACGACTCTTAGTCTTTAGCTTTTGACAGCTGACAAGACCTGAGAGTCATTTAGTTGTAACTTTATGTTGGTACTTTTCCACTTTTAGGGAAGTTGTAAATAAAATATGCATACAAATACTTATAAAAATTTAACGCCCTATGACTTTAACGAGTATCTTGACTGTTGCTTTTTTATTTTATATTATTGTTGTTTTTGGTAACTATTTTGTTATGTCATGGATTTGTCTGGTTTTTGGTTAGTATTTCAATGTGTGGGATTATATTTTAGGTAATTACTGTTAAGGTTTTATCTTCTGGAGCGCGAAAGTTATGCAAAACAGAGAAGTAAAGAAGTAAATTAAATGAAATTGTTTTTTTTTTCACGTGTGTGTGTGTGTGTGTTTTTTTTTGCATAAATAAATGTAATGTAACGGTTTTAAACCGGATATAGTGGGTGAATAATTTAAACATTTCTGTAAATTGAAAATATATGTGCAGTGTTGCATTTGCCGACAATAAGTGAGAAATTAACAATGATGTATTGTAATGTTAATTGAATAGAAATCGTATATATTAACAATTCCCCTCAGACAATTGGAAATTGTTTTTATTTGAATTTGTTAACTTTTTTGTTTTAATTTAATTAAATAAAGTCAATTACACGATCGGCTATAAAATGCTGAAAATTTAGTCTTGCAACTGATGGAGTTTTTAAATGCAATTGATGGAGAAATTGCCGGAGATAATTATTAACAAAATCTTAAGTAATTGATACACCAGACGATATTTAAATCAGTTATGGAGCGCCTAATTTGTAGGAGACATTCCCTTGATTTGGATACAAGAATAAGAATGGATTCATTGATATAAAATATTACTATGAAATGTCTTAATATTTATCATTAAGAAGAGATTAATACTGAAGCCCAGATTTGTGGAAATATGGTGAAATTATTTGAGGGATTAAGATTAAGATTATTCCGATTACAATTTCTTAGAAAGGTATTGAAATTGCTGGGCAATTCAATGATCATTCAGCAACATTTGTGGAAGTCTTAACGTTGCCAACGATGCAAGAAATGTACCATCGCATTGCCAACTATTTTGAAGAATTTTCAAAGATTTGCAAAGATCTCCACAGGACATAAAAGTTTTACATTAAACACCATTATTTGGCCCAAGAAATATTGAAATTTAAGGACAAGTTGAATATCTTTAAGAAATATTTCATGAAGCCATAACGTTGCCAATGATGCAGGAAATGCACCATCACATTGCAAACTACATATTGGGAAAAAGTTTGGCCCAAGAAATACTTAAATTGCGGAGCATGTTAAAGATCACTAAGAACCATGTGTTGGAGCTTGTAGAAGATACAGGAAATGCAACACCTCGTTGCCAACTATTCTAAAGATGTTACAAGGATTTTTAAAGATTTTCACAGGACATTAAAGTTTTACATTAAACACCATTATTTGATCCAAGAAGTATTGAAATTATAGGGCAATTTGAAGATCATTATGAATTATTTGATGAAGCCACTACGTTGCCAAAAGATGCAGTTTATGTCCTGCATTACATTGCCAACTATTTTGAATAAGTTTTGCCATTATTTGAGCCAAGAAGTATTGAAATGGTTGAGCAGATTAAAGATCTTTAAAGCCTTAACGTTGTCAAAAATGCAGGAATTGCACCAGCACATTGCCAACTAATCTGAAGAAGTTACAAAGATTTGGAAAGATCTTCATAAAATATTAAGATTAAATACTATTATTAGGCACAAGAAATTGAAATTGCAGAGCAATTTGTAGATCATTAAGAAATATTTGTTGAAGTCACAACGTTGTCAAAGTTATAGGAAATGTAGCTTCTCGTTGCCAACTACTTTTAAGAGAGATCTCCAAAGAAATACAATTTTTACATTAAAAAAACTTTTGATATTTAAAATATGTATGTATGTCCACTATTTCTACATTACATTACATTTTAAAACAATTTATGAAATTATAAAACCATTAATATTCAATTGTTCACTTTTCAATACAATTACAATTGTATTTATCCCCTTTCTTATACATCCACAATCATATTTTTTATAACATTTCTTTTACTCGTTTTCGGTTTTCATACAAATTTCATAACCATCAAGGTCTTTTAATTTTTTTCTCAACCCATTTTTATGGTTTAATCAGGTTTCATAATAACTTTTTTTTTGAAACTTCACTTGCATTTTTTTGTAAACTTTTGTCTCTTACTTTTGTTTCTGTTTTTTTATATATGTTTTTGTATTTCAACTCACTTTGTATTTTTTGTTTATTTGTAATCCTTATGTAATAAATAAAATAAATATCCTTAAATTTTGTTATTCACAACACTTTTGCTCCACTTCGTTTGTTGTCTGTACGTTGACTGTGCTGTATTGCCCAGATTCGTTAGTTTTTATACTAAAAACTACAAAAAAGCCAATCTCATCATTGTCTCAGTTTATTTTTTATTTTTGCTTACTTTAGGCTTTAGTTTAAACTATACAGACAATACTTTAAAAAATCTCTGCAAAAGACATATAGCATTAAGTTTAAGCTTGTCTCATTTGATAAACAACAACAACAACATACATAGCTTCTCTTTAAGCCTAATACAGCAGGGTTTACTTATTTGTTTGGTTTGACGTCACAAAGTTTGATTTTGGTTTGTTGACTAAACGTTTGTTTTGGCTTAATTCTTTTTATTCAGTTTATTTCTACGAATGAATGGAGGACGTTTTAAGTTTTAAATTTGTTAAAGAGTTTTTAATATGTTTTCAAAAGAATAGTGTTCAATATTAATATTGAACATTTCTTGAAATTTGTTCTATTGATCCTTGGCCTTAAAAATGATTGGATTTTTCGTTATATTTTTTCATCAGAATTATACCCCCATAATTGATTATTTCGTTTGTAATATACTGAAATATTGTTCACAGAAAGTATTCTGGAAACCAGAATCCCCTTTTACAGATTTTCATTCATTCAGGAAGTTGTGTGTTATGTTAAATATTCAAAAAGTACCAATTAAAAAACGAAAAAGTGCCAAAAAGTAACATTTGAATGACGAAACATTACGAGAAACTCCCCTTTTTAAAATGAAAATAGTACCAAAAAGCCCTCTTTTGTAGCTTATATTTTACTCCGGGCTCTACATTCGTAATACAAAAAACTTCCCTCTTATTTGGTGCTCTTTTACGACGGGCTCTACATGCTTAATTTTTATTTAATTTCATTTCAAATTTTCAATTTTTTTAGTAATTTTTATTTTTTTTATTTTTTTCAAATTTTCAATTTTTTTTAGTAATTTTAAATTTTTTTTATTTTTTCCCATCCTTGCTTAATTTCCCCCACACAATTTTCCATCTTTGATTTTGGCAATAACAAAACAAAATAACATGTTCTTGCTCTGTTCTGTTTTGTTTTTATAAACAAGCAAAATTTACCATATGAAAGCATGCTTGATAAAATTATTAATGTTTCGGATCTCGTAGTTATCTGGGGTCTTCTGAAAACTGATTTTAATATACACACAGAGCCCCCAGGTGCATGTTAACTTCATGTTCTATGCAACTAGAGTACCTGGTGGTGTCAAATGTATCCTTGGCTTTTATTTGAATGTGTTGACCTGGAGTTGAACCACAGAGTCATATAAAGAAAAGATCTTCCCATTAATCCCGGTTAATCCCGGGGCAATTATTGGGTTCAGTTGACCTTGGAAATTCTTACATCCTTAGTCAAGCAGATCGGTTCATGTAGAGGGATATTGATTCATTATTTTGGGTATTTCGGGCTACTAAATACGTCTCCAGCTGCTGTTGCCAAAACAACAGAGTCATCTCAGTAGTGTGATTTGGCCACTTTAAGAGGTCCAGGAATGCAATGGGCTGAGTCTTTAGATGATGAGAATGTTTGTAGGTACAGAGCATTCCTCATAACATCAATAGGGTGTTTTCACCTGATGTTTTGGTCCGCCCCTTCTATCGTCTCTAATCAGTGATTGCCTTCTCCTTTGTCGGGGTTAGATTGAGCTTGTCTCATGACACCTGTTATTCCCCAACGGGGCTACTATGGCAAGAGAATAGATAGCTCGAAAAGTACTTGTACATGGACCGACTCAGCCATGTACAAAAATTGCCACCTGATTTCTTCATAGAAGGATTCAGGGGCGCATGATAGACCGTTCTCAAGTATACCCAGTGGATGAAAAAAAACCACCATGAAATAAGGCCCTCAGGGCAGGTGTTCACGTAAAGCACTTCGACATTCGACCCCTAAGAGGAGTGACTCTGGGACTAAGCGTTAGAAATATGTAATGATACGGGATGGATGCGGGGGTATGTGGACCTTACCTACCCGCATATCTAGATTGAGCCTGTTGAATGTTTTTCTCAATAAATGTGTCGGATAAATGAGAAATGTGCTGAATGGTGATGGATCTTATACCAGTGTTAGCATTGAATTTTTCTTCATTTTCAGGGTATATTCAGGATTTACTTTGTTCATACCAAATTCACCACAGTGTGTTCTCTGTGAGAAATAACAGGTCTATGGCTTAATTGATGGATTCGTATTTCGTTCAACCTATTACGTCGACAGTAGCACCTAGAGCAGCCTAATCAACGAAAAGACTTCTTCAGGAATGCGAATAATGCAGAAATCATCCACATTTTAAGAAATAATAACGTCTGTACCTTTCATGAGATAACCAAAAAATATCAATTACTAAGGAATAAACTGCTGCGAAGCAAGCCGGGTGAGCGATATGAGAAAAATTGTTTTTACAGGGTCCTTCTTTGTGTGGAACTAGGGTAATCAAATCGTTCACAAATCATATGGTCCGTTCGACTTCTCCATGTCAAAAAATTGAATTTTTGAGAAAAAAAAAACTTTTTTAATAAAATATTGGCTTGAGAGTAAGAAATATGTTTTTGATAAAAAATGAAGGGAAAGGGTCTTTTTTTGATTCGTATCGATCGAAAACTCCACTTAAAACATTTGAAAATGCAATTGCAGATATTCGTTTCCTTTAACTCTATTAAAGTTGAGATTTAGTAAATGAGGACATTTAAGTGTTAAACCCAAAAATATAGGTCACATTTAAAGTAGATAAATAAAGTATTTTAAATTTCTCATCATTAAAATAAATCAGTTGGTACACAAACTCATTATTTTTTATTGTCTACACTCGAAATGTACTGTTGCCTATGGAGTGTTTATAGTTATAGTTATAGTTTCAGTTTCTGTTACAATTTTATTTCATTCCAACCAAGAAGATGATTCATTACAGTAGATTCATGAATTCAAATGATTTTGTAGTTGTATATAGTATTTTATATGATTTTGACAAATTGTTTATAGACAACATGTCCCGAAAATTGCGTGCTTTGCATATATAATTATTTAAATTATGGCAATGTTTATTTATATTTAGAGTTAAATATTTAATTTAAACTTTTAAATATTTAAAATAATGTATACATATGAAGGCAATGCTAAACGTTTTAAAAACAATAACTATTAATTTCAAATCACATGTTTAAGAATCTCAAATTTCCAATTCTTAAAAAAATGAATTTATTTTCTAAAAGACCTTAACAAGTTCAAAGAACTAAATTCACAAAAATTCCCACGAATCATTAAACTAGTTTTGTATTCATTTGATATTGTTTTTAATTTATCTAATTTACTATTGGCACACTTCTGGCAGATTAATAAACTTTTTTGGTTTTTTTCTAAAAGTTTTTATTTCTAAGAAATTTTTATTTTTTTGTCAAAAGTTTGTTAATAAGTAGTTTAAAAAGGCTAAAAATAAAACGCGGCATAATACTGACCATACTCAAGTTTCTGAGTATTTTAGCGTATTTTAGGTGTAAAAAGAAGAGAAAAAAGTTAATTATTGATTGATTTTTTGTTAAACGCAAATATAATTAAAATATACAGCTTAATATTTTGCGCGTAAATTTTTAAATTTGTATACACGACTTAGTATGTAAATGGTAAGTAACTGATCTTCGGTAATTCCGAATGACGGTTTAACCCCTTGTGGGAGATTCAGAATTTTGTGAAACAAAGAAACTAACTCACTAACACACTCAGTCACTAACTAACTAACTAACTACTAACTAACTAACTAACTAACTAACTAACTAACTAACTAACTAACTAACTAACTAACTACTAACTAACTAACTAACTAACTAACTAACTAACTAACTAACTAACTAACTAACTACTAACTAACTAACTAACTAACTAACTAACTAACTAACTAACTAACTAACTAAACTAACTAACTAACTAACTAACTAACTAACTAACTAACTAACTAACTAACTAACTAACTAACTAACTAACTAACTAACTAACTAACTAACTAACTAACTAACTAACTAACTAACTAACTAACTAACTAACTAACTAACTAACTAACTAACTACTAACTAACTAACTAACTACTAACTAACTAACTAACTAACTAACTAACTAACTAACTAACTAACTAACTAACTAACTAACTAACTAACTACTAACCTAACTAACTAACTAACTAACTAACTAACTAACTAACTAACTAACTAACTAACTAACTAACGAACTAACTAACTAACTAACTAACTAACTAACTAACTACTAACTAACTAACTAACTAACTAACTAACTAACTACTAACTAACTAACTAACTAACTAACTAACTAACTAACTAACTAACTAACTAACTAACTAACTAACTAACTAACTAACTAACTAACTAACTAACTAACTAACTAACTAACTAACTAACTAACTAACTACTAACTAACTAACTAACTAACTAACTAACTAACTACTAACTAACTAACTAACTAACTAACTAACTACTAACTAACTAACTAACTAACTAACTAACTAACTAACTAACTAACTAACTAACTAACTAACTACTAACTAACTAACTAACTAACTAACTAACTAACTAACTAACTAACTAACTAACTAACTAACTAACTAACTAACTAACTAACTAACTAACTAACTACTAACTAACTAACTAACTAACTAACTAACTAACTAACTAACTAACTAACTAACTAACTACTAACTAACTAACTAACTAAACTAACTAACTAACTAACTAACTAACTAACTAACTAACTAACTAACTAACTAACTAACTAACTACTAACTAACTAACTAACTAACTAACTAACTAACTAACTACTAACTAACTAACTAACTAACTAACTAACTAACTAACTAACTAACTAACTAACTAACTAACTAACTAACTAACTAACTACTAACTAACTAACTAACTAACTAACTAACTAACTAACTAACTAACTAACTAACTAACTAACTAACTAACTAACTAACTAACTAACTAACTAACTAACTAACTACTAACTA